GATACTTCAAATAATAACAGTTTCAGCTAAACAGCCTTCATAATAGGATTTTTCGACCTGATTATGTTTCTCATAAATTCCATTCCCATTTAACAAAGGGATGAAAAAAGAAGGTGACAGATCCACTTGTAGCAAACGTTTAATCGTTTATTACTGTGTAATTCGAGAATGAACCGAGGAGAATACGTGGAGTTCATTTGTTGGAGACGACATGACCCCGAAACGGCCCTTCCTTGCACTTCCTCGGTCACTTCATTATAAGCTTTTAGCCAAAATGAAGTGTAGGATATATCCCCTACAGGTGCAAACACACTATCGTACATGTGTATAAGTTTGTCAACATGCATACAAAAGTTAACATGTATTAAAATTGTTAAGTTTACATGATGTTGATGCATAGATTTATTTGACTAGCGTTTCGATCTTCGTCTTCATCAGAGCCGATGGTCCACAGAAACTGGTGTTGTATGTGAATCCATCACCCGAATCCATCCCCGTTCAAATCCAGGAATATAGGCACCACAGCGTTTAATCCCTTATCTATCAACCAGCAGTAAACGTGCCATATATTCCTGCAACTAATCGGATTGAGACCTCTCATATTAAAAGTATCCAAAAACTGGCTAAAAAATGATGAAAGGACACGAGATGTGGAATGTGATCGTCTACTTACAAAAAGACAAGGTATGGAATGTGAACGTCCAGTTACAAAAATTCTCTCAGACAAAAATATAAGTGAATAAAAACGGCAGGATTCCATGAATAGAGCATCTGGATTAGTTGTTACACCTTACAAATAGCACGCTAGACGATTTCTTGTCAGAGTTAGCCAACACCGAAACTCCTGATCTTATTTTTTGACGGAAACGAAGTTAAAATCGAAGGCTTCAAGAATAAGATGTAAGTTGGAAATATTACACGTCATAATAAAGATTCAACAGAATGCCTCAGGCGGTGAAAGATGAAAACCCTGGATAAATCCAGATTTGTTCATATGTAAGCGTTAAAGAGGGCTGGTTGTTATCGATCTGTGTGTGGTGTAACAGACACTCACCTATCACCACTGAGCGCAACAACGACGTTTAGAAGGTTTTTGAAGCGGTTTTCGGAGAATGTTGATGTATTTGACGACGTGTGTTGATAACAGAACTGAAAAAATTCTATGGAATACAGTAAAGTGAGCGACTTTACAGTCTGCTGCATTGAATGCACACACAATATCGATGGATTGACCATGGGCTTTATGGGGCTCATCCAATCCGTCGTAGTTCTGGGCTCAATAACATGTGATAGAGTTCTCTATATGCGGAAAAACATTGACTCTTTCACAGAACAACTTCCATAGATCATCTTTACACTCCTACAATGGGAAATAAGTCTTACAATACACCTCCGTGAGATTATCTTAGGGTTTCCAATTCCCCTTAAGCAATTTTTGGCTAAACAGCAGTTCGTAAATTGGATCAAGTTGATAAATCTCACTCAAATATCAGCAGTTTTGGCAGTGGAATAGGAGTATTAATTATCAAGAAACTAAGTGGTTTTTCGCTTCTAGAAACTCTCGGCTCGCATACTTCAACGGTTTATGGATTTTCCATGAGAAATAAAACTACTGACTTTAGTGAAATCACATAATAAAGCTCCCAAATATTGTAGAAAGTATTCCTGAGCAACAAATTTTCTGATTTCTTCTGCACAACGTAGCATCACGTATTGTGGGGGTCTCAGCATTTCTTGCACTCGACTCGTTTGCACGCGTCCATCATCCACGATGACCTTCGAACTTTTTTTGAATGCGGCTACGGCTCCTGCTTGACGATTCTTGTTCTTTTTTTTTTTTTACTAATGTCTTCGAATGCCTGTCCAGTAGATTTTCCATAAAATCTTAAGATTGCGGTGGTAGGGCGTTCTTAGATCTTCATCACATGTAGTCCCCGTCTTTCCTGTCTTTGAGAGAGTGAGCTGACCGTAGACAAGTCTGGTACCAATTTCCCAACCAGAGGGTCGCATAGTCGGAGTGAAGTGCCTGAACCGAAAGCCTTGTACGTGCTGAACGGCAGAGCGCCACTGCACTATTTGCCCCCTTAACAATAAACCAGTTCAATTTAAGAAATAGCAGAGAAATAATACTACTTATGGTCCTGCATTCGAATTACTCTCGATAATTGTGGATCTTTATACTGATTGTTTTCTACTATGGGAAGAATATTTTCTATTTTTAGTACAAACAAATGTTGCTCATGTTCCTCGCATGTATTTTCACGCTCAGTAAGACAATGCGCAGTGTTACGAAACTAACTCATACCGTCAATTCCGGCCAACCACAATGAATCGACGATACTTGGCCACGATGAGACAAGCGCACGCTTTGGCCATCCCGGATCCACTTTTCAAGCAGATGTCTACCTAATCCTCTCTAGTCACCGACTACATGAACATATTTAAAGACCGCTTTCGTATTGTCACCCTATTTCTCTCAAAGACTGTCAGAGTATTATCTAGCTACTCGTGCTAGACACAAGTGTACGAGACACAATAAATGTATGGTGGGTAGTTTTTAAGCAAAGTGGCGGTCATTCATGTTTGATCTTCATTAATATGAATTCTACTTGAAAATCGTTTCCACTGTGCTTCTGCGTCATGTGTGCGCCTAGAAGAGGATTTGGCTTGGGTTTAAATTTATCGCTTAGATGTACTTTTATATGGACGCACAGTGGGCTACTCTTTTTTCTAATGTATCCGTCCCCATAGACTTTATAACAAATAAGGCACACCCTCCCCGAACCCACGCAATCACCGTTTCTACCGTTCGGGCATATTGTGCAATTTTGCATTATGTATGGAGACATATTCATAGACGCAGTTACGAACTAGCTGGCTTCTGAGGGTATTCGGTGGTATTAATTCACTGTTACCGAATTCTCCAAACAGACCCATTCTAAGCAATGTTTTATAGCTGCACTTATTTCTGTGAAAGTTAAGCACAGAATAAATGAGACCTTACTTACTTGCATACTTGAACGACCCGTCCTCACTAGTTGTGCGGGCCCCAGAATAATCTCCCTTTTTCGGAGTTTAGCTGGTGCAGTGGAGTCCTGAGATCAGCCAAGCCAAAGTATGCCCCAGGTCATCACCACGACAGACAGTCGCAGCCCTTGTGGATCAGAGAGAGATTTGCCACCATGCGAGTAGTTTGATACTAGGACGGTGGTGAATCCTGTTATTGCTTTACTCTTTACTAGGCTTCCTGGTGGAAACGTTGGAGTCCTTTTCAGCTTGGTAGACCTTGCCGGGGGGATGAATCCACGCGCTGTACATCGAAGCCCGACACCCAGGAACACCTCCTGGCCATGATGCAGTAAAGCGTTGGGAAGAATGGGATCTCATTGTTGCCAAAGCTATCGTTTCGGGGGGCGTGGCTATTCCTCCACAGCAGTGCCGAGGTGCTACAGTTTCGTTGCGATTTGAAATGGGTTATATCTCGCGTCAATTTCGTGGATTCTTCTTTCTGCTTTATTTCTGTGCACACACTGGTGGCTGTGCGAAACGTGCTTCGGACAAGCGCCCTTTATGTGTGTGAAAGTTAAGAGCAGAGGTAATGAACCGGTACGTTTTTGCAACTTGGCTTTTGGTACCGTAGCCGTTTTCGGATGGGTTAATTTGAGCGTTGAAAAATAGATGCCAGTTTTCTTTCAGTTTCTTTCGGGTAAACTTAATGTATGCTGACTGTTCGTTCAACAACTCAAAATATTTGTGCTTCTCCCGTCTTCTGGAGCGGATTACAAAACAATCGTCGATATATCTACAGTAGATTAGTAGCAGGAGATAAACTACTAGAGTTTCTTATTTGGATATGAAAGCAGTGACAAGGCTTGATACCATTATCATTGCTATTGCCCCTCATTGATACGAAATATTTAACGGACTATCGAAAGATTGAGCAGTTCTAGCACTAAGAGGATCATGAGCTGCTGAACTGAGAAATCATATGTTTACGGCTTGTATTGCAGTCATCGGCGGGCACTTTTGCATAAAGGCGGTAACGTTGAAGGACACCATTACATAAGCCCTGTTAGACAGCACGTTAGTTACCTAAATAGTTACCTAAGCATTTATGGATTAGCTACACGATTCGTGAATATTTGGGTATTCATGAAATGGGCTTGGATGTGTTTGAACAACTTTTAGGTTTATAAACACATTATTCATCCATGAACTCATCTACGCAGCTGGTCATGTTTCTGTCCTCTAACTCTGAAACATTGTTAGATGTAGAATTACTACTGGGTACCAACTCATATTTCTAATAAGTAAGTATAAGACAGTAAATAAAGGACAAAGCTCTCGGCGTTCATCAATCCCTGAGGGGTGCGCCATGTATTCGATTTCATTAAGTGTCGTTGTAGGTAATGGAGTGCATATCTGGTCCATGCAATGACTCGCGGTTGCCTACCGGTATAGAGCCAGTGCTGCTATCATCCCAGACAAGTCTGGTACCAATTTGCCGACCCCGGAGGGATGGAAGGCTTAGCGGGCGAAGGGCGCGGAGGTCGATTCCACAGATGTGCTGCAGTGGCACCTCCAACCACGGCGCCACATGCGCCCTTATAAGACGGTACATGTTGGTAATTCAGTGTTAAATTGGGAAATAGCCCATGGTTTTAAAACCTGCCACGTTAACCTACTTGTTCTTTGATGATCTATACCATATTTTGAATTCCTTTTTAGATGAATAAAATGAAGCATCTTGATGATGTTCTTTGTTACCTTGTTGTACATCTGACGAGGAGTAGCTGCGAACACTTCGTCTTGCTACTGACTGATAGCCTAATGGTTTTTGATTTTATTGGTTCTGGAACCGTCTTAACGGTTTACCAACTCATCGAGGCTTGGAGGTGTTTCTGGGTGTCGAGGTGAGATGTACAGTCGGTGGATTCATCCCTCCGGATGGGTCTCCCAAGCTGAGAAGGAGTCCGACGTTTTCATCAGGAAGCCTAGCAATGAGTAAATCAATACCAGGATCCACCGCCGTCCTGGTATCAGTCTGGTCACATGGTGGCAAATCTCCCTCTGATCCACGAGGGCGGCGAGTACCTGTGGTGGTGACGACTTGGGCAGACTTTGGCCAAGCTGACCTCAGGACTCCAGGAAACCACAATGGTTACACCAACAAGAATCCGAAGAAAACAGAAATTATGCTTGGGCCCACACAACCAATGAAGATTGACCATCCAAGCGTCCAAGTGAGTACTGGAACCATGGCGTACTACATTTTTGCGCTGCTGTGGAATGAGTACTAGGCTTTTCGTCGCGGTAGTGGTTAAGGACTTTTAGGATTTCATCAGTGAGCTTGAGGAACTTGATGTCTACTTCGTGTCTGGATTTTTATGGTCTAAAGAGCGCTCGAGGAAAAGTAGGTAGTGGTAATGATCCTACTTCTTGTTTTTCATTCTTATGATATAATAATCTCGTCTACATATCTCACCCAAGCATTCAGTTACTCAATATACTCTACTGTTACTAACCTGCTTGTTGTCCTTCTTCTCCAGGTCACTTTTGCTTACTGATCATTTTATCGTGTTTGTTTCAATAACTCTGAGTGAACCACAATCACCATTCTTAAGTAGTGGCCAGGCTTTCTACGAATGTGTTAAGGCAAGTAGAATCGAGGAGTCTAAAAAGTGGGCGCGGAGTCGGGTGGTATTTGTTCTTCTTACCATATAGTTGATGTTATTGAGAGCTCCACAGGCCACTCGTTTCCTCCTGCTGAACTCTCAGGCTAAATTATTCATAGTGTTGATTTCTCAACCTAGATAGCTTTAGCTGCTGCGTATGAAGTTATTCATCGCCGCAATGATCTTGAGCGAGGAGCAAAACTCGAAAGCCCGAGTGAGCTTAAGAACATCATTACCCTTTTCGGGGGCTCACGTGTCATGCAATGCACCACCGTGGGTCTTCCTTTACCTTTTTCTTAGTTAATTTTTACTCTAGCCGTGCCACCAGCGGTCACTTGTCAGTGGGAATTATCTGAGCCCCTGGAAACGGTAATAGCAGCTTCGAATCTGGCGTCTGAGTTTTGCAAATATCTCAGCATCGTTGCGGTTGTGTTTTATGCGATATCCTACTATAAAAAATGATAGGCAGTAGATAAAAATTAGACATTGTAATATTCATTCCGTTGAGTGTGAATGGGTCGTACGAAGCCAATGCGTGCCTCATGAAAAACGTTCAAATAAGCCTATCAAGTAGCGGTTACATGACAAAGTGGTACCGAAAGCCAAGTAACAAGAACATCCTCGTTAATTTCCTTTCTTCCCACCCTTCACACACAAAGAGGGCGCTTCTGAGAAAGATGTTTCGAACAGCCACCTCTGTGTGCACAAGTACGGAAATAAAGAAAGAATCGCGCCACTTGGTTCGGAAAATAACCATCTCCAATGGCTACGAAATAGTAGCCCCACGAGATAAATTTAGAAGGAGAGCGACGCCCCAAAGCGAAGGGTTTGGCCGAAACAAAATCCCGTTTATCTTGCCCTTCATTAGCGATGAAATAAGTGTAGCGATAAAGCAATGCTTAAGAAGGGCAGATCCAGTGAAATCGGTAGCGATAGTTGAAATACCACCGGCTATTCTACGTCGTCAGTTAGTTCCTCACCGCCTGAATGACCGTCTACGTGAAACACCAAATTGCGTAATTTGCCCTTACGGCAGAGACTGTGATTGCATGCGTTCAGGTACGATATACTTAATCTCTTGTAGTATTTGCGGCGATGAATATATTGGCGAAACGAGCAAAATTTTATGTATCAGCATAAAAGAACACATAGATGGCAAACGAAAATCAAAACAAGCAACGTCACCAGGGACGCATAGGATACAAAAGCATAGCCGCGACGGTTTTGATATAAAAGCCGCTATCATCGCACGGGAGACTAAAACACCAACGCGCGAATTTCTCGAGGCTTTTTGGCTAAATTCCAAAAACCCAAGAATGAATAGCAGGGAAGAATGTCCTGAGATAACGCGTGATCTAGCCCCGTATCTCAGAACTGATTTTTGATGTGGGGTGGTGCAGCAATCAACCATATGCGACTCTAAGCGGCTGTTCTTCCTTAGTGGAAAACAGTTAAAAAACGGTGGGTTTTTCGAGAAGCAGGTGATCGTCTAATTATTGTTCAGATTTTCATCTTTCTGTTTGCGTTGTTGAAGCGTTTGGCCTAGTAAATTACATATTAGTGCACCCTTCCAGGCTCTGAAGAAGGCGATTCTGCCGAAACGTCAGCTACCGTTGTGTTGTATGTGTTATATTTGTTACGAAGTAAACGTCTGCTAAGTAACAACTTTGCGATTGCTGTAAAAAAGAGAACAACAGATTAATAAAACGAAGATGGTTTAATTGCTAACTGCCGATTTACACATCTATGTTGTCCTATCCCAGTGTTTGCATGTCGTTCTGGACGGTGGCGGTAAATAATTTGGCGAAATATAGTATCTTTTTGTATAGCTCACGAAGAATATGTATGGAGGAGGAACGCTCTGGCTTTCCACAGCTTCCATGACCTCACATCTCAGTTGAGTCAGAAGTTCTCTTTAAATTGAAGAAGGTGAGACAGAGCGGCCTCTCGTGCTGTAGCGATATTTCGAGGGGTCTTGTCATTGTGTGTTACAGTCCATTGTGCTGAATACTTTTCGAAACTCTGTTTGCTCTTACGGCTGCATTGCTTTTCGCGTCCTGTCAATCCTGTCTATAATGGCTCGAATGAAGAGTCTATAGACAACAGACAGTAAGCAAATTGGGCAGTAGTTGCCAATATCGTGGTCACTGTTCGTGAACAATGACGCAGTCTCTCTTCCACTGGTTAGGAATTTTGCAATCTGACAAGTAACGTGTGAAGAATCGAATAAATGTGTTAAGTGATGAGAGCTGGAAGAAAGTTCTTTAGGTGTTTGGTCTTATTCCTATTTGAACCAGGTTTTGTTCGATTCTTCACCGAGGAAGTAGGGTGTGGAATTTCGGAAAGGAGAAGTGGTGAGTCGACATATCCATCCTCCTTTATTTCGTATGAAGGAGGGCAGGAGGAAGTGGCTATTGAAGAGATCTGAGTGGTAATGGTGAATAATTTTTTCTATTACCTTTCTGTATGCTGTAACCATTCTGTCTGGGCGTCGGACTGCAGTCATCTCGTAATTAGCGAAGTATCGGTGGGCTGAGCGAATGCTTTTCCCAGCATGTGTAGCTTCGACCATAACTATTGCTGTTCTCTCTTTTAAATCTTCGTTTATCGCTTATCTGCATTGTTTTGTAAGTTCGGATGTTCATTGTCGGTTGTCTGTGGCTTGTGCGATTCCACTTTGGCACATAAGCTCAAGTGTTTCTGAAGACAGACGTTCTTTTGTAACTTTCAACTCTCAGTTTTCATTTTGCTAAGGTGAAGATGTTGAATAAGCTGATCACATTCTTCGTCGATCTGGCAACAACGGCATCTTCCCAGGAGCAGTTATTGAGATGAGCAGATCCCAGTTTACGGTGTCAGAACTTTATTTTTTGAAATTAATGGCTTTCGCTGTCCTTTTAGCGAGAAATGAGATCTTGCGTGAAGGAGGCGGTGGTCTGACCCGGTTAGAATTCTGAGACAACTGCGACATCGGTTAGGCAAAACCTTCGATTTACAACGATGTGATCTAATTCGTCAAGCTACTCTCTACTAGGAGACTACAACGTCCAGCTTTGAGAGCAGATCTTTTTTCTATTTGACCTTTCTACTTTATCTCTTCGTTCGAGTAGCTTTAGAAGAGCAAAATTTTTTAAATTACTACTTGTTATGTCACTTGATACCACATGTATCATACTATGGAGATCCCAGTGCCTATCGCATTTCATTCGTTTCCTCGGATCCAGCATCCATAAAAGTCTCGGCTGCTACTTGAAGAATTCTTCATCTTCGCCGCGAATATCTTTGAATGTCAGTCGAATTGATTCTCCCTGGAATCCTAAGAGGGCCGTGATGGGCATTCCTATGCGTACTGGACTCCAGAGGGAATCGACTCGCTAACTATTCGACTACATTCGGGACGAAAACGAAAAATTCTCCAAGCAGCAGCTGAATCCATAGTCGAAGAGTTCGAAGACCTTCATGTACGGTAAATGCAAAGCAATGAACCGAGTGCAAGAAGGGCTAGGTTCAGCACACTAGTAGTGAAGGGTGGAATAAAACTTGATAAAAAATGCACTCGTATGCAATCACCCAGTTATGCATTTCTTTTCACTATTCCGTATTTCCTTCGAGTAATCATATAACTCCATTTCACTGCTTCTATGAGGTGAGCTAATTTTATAATGTTTCTGTAGCCAGATATTTTTATTCAAATCGAATTCCTAACCTTCCATGCAAAATTTCGTGGTTGCTGGACACTTTATAACTTTCTACAATTTCACGAAGAGTGGTAAAAACTGGGCACTATGTGTGAAAATTGGACCTTACAAGGGCATGCGATTCCGACGAATTTTTAGATGAAATCTCTGAACAGTCGTTTTTGTAGAATCGCCATGAAGGTTATCATGACCATTTAAGGATGTCACACATCACACTGATGATAAGAACGTCTTAATGGACTCCACCAATCGTTAAAGTCGTTCATAGTCAGCTATGATTTCTTCGCTGTAAGTCCATCTCTAGTAGTTTATTCTTATTAATTTTTTTATTCGGATTAAGTAGCATGTAGTGGTACGATGGTGATGAAGGAGCGAAGCGTCTATAGTAGTCACCAATTTTTTTGAGCTATCAAAAATCCCCATAGAGATGAAACAATTTTGGAGATCTTGTGAAGAATCTAGAGCTGCTACAGTGATTCCGACGCATTCTAGTGGAGATCTCTTTGAAAAGGTGTCATCTCTCTTCATGGAAACCAGGTCGGGGCATTGCTCATGCCAAAATAGACGTCTTCGGAGTGAATAAACTATTTTCGGGTCACCCCGTCAATAAGACAAATTTGATGCTCCAAGCAACTTGATGATTCGACTACTCTAATGCGAAATGTGCTTATTGACTATAATTCATGTTCGTCAGAAGAGAAATCACCTTATAATCAGATACTTCGGAAGGAATGGACTGTACGGTTAAATGTGATCACGATTTGATCGAAATCCAGCACAGTTGGGTCATATGGCTACGATGTAGCAAGCATTTGGTCGTTATCAGCCCATTATGGCAGTGCGAGTTTGATAAGCAGAAGGCCGAACTTCTACCACTAGTTACATATCGATCGAGCCTCTGCATCTTTTACTTGTTATCTTTATCACTTTGTAATCTCTTTCATTGGTACGACTAAAAACAAGACAAGGTGCATGGGTGGAGATATTTTTCATGAGCACTACAATAGGAGGTTAACATAAAAGTAGTCATATAGGCCTTTGCCCGGCAGTTTCTTCCTACAATTTCTTTTGTTTAAGTGGAATAATTTTACAATGAGCCCACTGTTTCAGTTGGTTTGCATTCTCTTTTTTATCACAGCACTAGCTTGCAGTCTTATAGGAGAAAAGCGGTTATCATTCCTCAACATTATTGTAGCCACTTTTCACTGCAGAAAATATTATTTTAAAGCGGTCAGAAGTTTGTCTTTTTCGCGCTCTTATAATGCCAACTAAACCTGTAACATCCTTCGCCGAATAATAATCGAACTCGATATCCCTGTTGAGGAGTACTTGTCGGAATCAAGTAAAACTCCTTTCGTTCCTCATCGGTTTTTAACTACTTCTATTGAGAAAGTGGGAACTCTGTTGCCCTAATATCTTAGTACAAGTGGAAACGACCCACAAAAAGCAGTCAACGTGCCAACGAGGAAACAAGGTGGCAGATTGTCAAGTCACAATTTAAGGTACACACGAACTTCATAACCTCCATGAGCAAATGATTGGAACAGAATGAAGAAATACTAGAGGGAAATGTAAACCTTTGAGTATGATCTACCAACATAGTAAGGAACGGAATGGTGGTGGTTTCTTGCATTATATTAGAGCATTAAAACGGGTTTATTATTTCGAGTCGTGTGTTGCTTTCTTGATTCATTTCGTTCCTTGTTGTTGTTCGGTAGTGTTTAGCACCTCTGTGCTTTGCCATTACATTAAAATTGAACAGACATTATTCCGATTTCATATGTCTTTTATCATTTCTTCGATCATCATGATGCCCACGCTAGAGCATCCAGAAGGCGTCCGATGTTGTCACTTCGAGCTTTTGTCCAACTTGCTGTGCCTCTTTAATATTTTATTCTGTGTTCGTAGAATTTGATATGAATATTACCTCAAATTTCAGAAATGGTTATAAAAGCTGTTGTCTTTGACATGGGAGGCGTTTTAATCCCCACTCCTACAAATTTCATTGAAGGTGTGTAGGCCATAAAGTAGATTAATAAGTCTTTCAATAAAAGCATCATGATTTCGTAGTGAGAAGTAGTTGGTTGAGAATAAATATTTGTCCACTAGATAGTCTTATTTTTATTCGAAGGGCTTTTATAAAAAGCGACTAGGATTAGAACAGACATTTTTGGGTGGCTTTTCAATAAATATCCTGTTAGTAGTTGGGTTCCAAATGAGAGTTCATCGCTCTTGTAGGTGCTATAGAAGATTCGATATGAGGAAATAAGTAATGTAATATTTAGACAAAAACTGGTTTTTTCCGAAGTAATCATTTCTCAGAAGGAGAGGGAAATAGAGGAGAAGAGACTGGTGGAAAAGAGAGAGAGATAAAGGTACTTATAGATAGTCGGAGAGAGTATAAGAGCTGGAAAGAGAGAAAAATAGCTTAAAGCTTAGTGTAAATACATAAGTGTACAGTGTACATAAGCTTAATTTTTTTGGTTCATTGTCCATCTTTTTATTGTCTATTCGCTCACTTCACTACTAGACTTATACGGATAATTGTTCGGCGTTAATCAACCTCTTATCGATAGGTCATGCGTTCGACTCTACCAAGCATCGTAAAAGGAAGTGATTAGATGTTCAAACAGTAACTTTCAGTGGCCTACATGTGTTTTTTGCCAGGGTTGTTTATCCTACCAGAAAAGTCTGGTTGCAGTTTTTCTTACAGATTCGTCGTTTTCTTTCTCAGCAATCGCGAGGTTACACTGATGTACCCTTCCAGGCTCCGAAGAAGGCGATTCAGCCGAGACGTCAGCCACGGTTGTGTTGTATGTGTGTTATCGAACGGAAGTAAACGTATGCTGTTTAACAACATCGCGATTGCCGAGAAAGAAAACGACGAATTTATAATCCAATACCGACGTTAGTAGAAGGCCAATCCTGGGAACTATTTCCTTACAAATGTGTGGAAAACTGGTTTCTTCTGAACTCGTGATCGAACCAATGACCTCGTATGTGTTGCGAGACAGCTCTAACCATTGTGCTACACGCGCCCTCACCGATCCACTTTTTTATTTTCCGTTTCTTCCGTTTCGAAAGAGGATCAGTTACTTCAAATTTTAGTTTTTCTTGTTTGGTTAAACTATGCTAATTGCGACTACCTCTTACACTCAGACTCAATAAATTAAAAGTTTTACATATAGTCTTAATAGTGAAGAAATATCGATGAACGATGTTAAATGCTTTGCTAACAAAAGCATTGCAGATTTGGAGCAGAAGAACGGATTTGCACCGGGATCACTTCTCTCTACACTTCATAAAGCGATGCTTTCTGAACATTTTAAGGCTCTTGAAAAGGGCGAAATCACAGCCGAAGACTTCGATCCACTATTCACTGATTTGTACAACAAAGAAGTATGGCGATTAGACTAAGTGAAAATTCTTTGCTTATTATAAAAATTGCCTCGTCACCAATATCGATTGATTATCGCGAGATACGAAATGAATCAATCGCATTCTTTTCGTCTGTCTTGTTTCAGTAAAGCGACAATCTGTCGACATGAAAATGAAGTTAGCTTAAAGTCATGAAAAACCGGGTGTTTTTTTTGCCTCGCCTGAATCCAGTTTTCTTCAGCATGGAGCCACTGGGAGGAATATTTCACTCGCTACTCTTGTAACGGATTTTTTATCTGAAATGAAAATGATCCCCGAAATGGGGGAAATTATCGAGGTGCGAGAAATACTTTTGTTTTTCATTTCTGAAGCTAAGGATCCTATTTTAATTCAGTAGATAAATAATAAGGTCGCGAATAGCGCAGTGGCTAGAGATGCCGTCAGACGGGAAGCAAAGGCGCTACTTCGATCGCCGACCCACCGCTCTCCTACAGTCCACGTGGGAACGCCTCAGCCTACCTGTCTTCAAGATTGCAAAGAGAATTGCTTCGACCAGCAATCTAAGCCATTCCTAAAGAAGACGAAATCCTCAAGCAGCTGCTAAAATAGGACGCGAAATGTGCGAAGACCATTGTGGATGTTGGATGCGAGGAAGCGAATCGAATGTTAGAAGCCCTGGGATTCGCACAGTAGATATGATGATGGGTCACGCAAGAAAATAAATAGAGAGGATAATAATATTTAATAAATAGTGTTCGTTCGATGTGACACAGCCACTAAACAATCAATTATCTAAGGAGAACCCTGGTCACTTGTATCAATGGTCTTATCGTTGGTTATTTAAATACTCATCGGTCTCCAGTGAGATTTCCATTTATTGCTGTTGCATACAAGATTAGTCCAATACGCTCTGCTCTGTCTAGCGACTCGTTAAGCATTACATCATTCATCTAAGGTATTCTTAAAGAACTCAAACCATCACGTCGATGGTCGTCTTGCCGTGTATTTGACATTTCGTGGAATCCAATCGATAGTGGCTCTTATCTATCAGTTGTCGCTCAGACTGGTCACATGCCCGGTAAATCTGACTTTCGACGTATTGAAATGCGTAGCGGCGCACCGGAAGTTTGTTGATTGACGTAGGTTGGAATTTGGAATTTTCTATCTTGTTTGCGGATGCGGGATACTCCCGGCATCGTCTTCTCGACTCAGCGTTGGATCACCTGTATTACCTGTCACCTGTAGTCCCACTGATCGTCGACTGACTCGAGCGGGCGCCACTAAATCTTCCATTTCTCCCTCTCGTGTGCAAGAGTAGCACAGTGGGTTTTGCTCCCTCCAGGGACTCGTCGAGCAACATACCTTTCTTTTAGGCTTTTCAAGAAGAGGTCTGACCATCGGGTCGGTGGTCTTCCTGCAGTGCGCTTAACATCCCAAGGAATCCAGTCACTAACGGCTCTCGGTTGCCATTTATACGAAATACGTGTTCGGCCCACCTTGCCTTCGACTGTTTGGCGTACAGAAGGACACCTTTGATTTTTAATCGTTGACGCAGATCGGAGCTTCGGAAGCAATCCCTTATTTGTGTGGAACGGAATACTTCTAGCATCGCCCTTTCGACTGCGCGTTCGATAACGATGAGTGATCTTTCACCCTGCTTACACAGCGACCAGGTTTCTGAAGCATACATTAGGGCAGGAAGTACCGTTGAGTCGAAAAGGTGGGCACGGAGTCGGGCCTTCTTTGTTCTCTTCACTACATCCTCGATGCTCTTGAAAGCTTCCCAAGCCGCTCGTTTTCTTCTGTTCAACTCCGGAGCTAGGTCGTTCATCATATTGATTTCTTGACCTAGATAGATATAACTGGAGAATTCGGAGATATTTGTTCCGTTGAGCGTGAATGGGGCACGCGAAACCAATCCGTTCTTCATGAACATCGTTTTCGTGAGATTCAGTCGAATACTAAGCTTTTCACAGGCTTTATAAAGTCGTCAAGCACACGTTTCGCTCGGCTAATGCTTGGTGATATAAGGACGATGTCATCAGCAAAGCGAAGCCGACCGTCGATTTTCACTCCCACATTATCCCATTCCAATGTTCGCATGACGTACTGAAGGGTGGCGGTAAGTAATTTTGGCGAGATGGTATCGCCCTGCCTAACTCCTCTTTTGACGTCAATGTTAATATCGTTGTATAATGGTGAAATCGTGGTTGTGAAATTTTTGTACAGCTCACGGAGAATCTTTATGTCTTGAGTAGGGACTCCTTGACTACCAATTGCTTCCAAGACTGCTTCTATCTCAACTGAATCAAACGCGTTCTGTAAATCGATGGAAGTGAGACAGAGCGGCCCTTTGTCCTCTCGCGATACTTCAGTGAGTCTTGTTATCGTGTGGACGTGGTCCATCGTACAAAATCCTTTTCGAAACCCTGTTTGCTTACATGGCTGTCCTTCGTTTAGTGTTCTGTCAATCCTGTTTAGGATGACTCAAGTGGAAAGCTTGAAGACGACAGGCGGTAAGCAGATTGGACGATAGTTGCCGATATCGTGCAGGTCACTCTTCTTGAACAATAACACGGTCATGCTGGTCTTTCAATGAATAGGGACCTTGCATTCAGACAGGTAACGTGCGAAGAGCCGACCCAGTGTGTTTACGAGGACTGGTGGAAGATTCTTCAGGTGTTCTGATCTTATTTTGCCCGGACCTGGTGCTGTTCGATTTTTCACCGACGAAATGGCATGTCGGATTTTGGAAGGGAGAACCGCTGGTACAACATATCTATCCTCCTTTACTTCATATAACGGAAGTTGGCCATGGCTATCGAGGAGATCTGAGTAGTATCCGTGAATGATTTTCTCCATTTCCTTTCTGGACGCTGTAACTGTTCCGTCTGGTCGACGGAGTGCCATCATCTTGGTGTGGCAATTGGCAAAGCTTCGGTGGGCTTTGCAAATAGTTTTCCCAGCCTCTGCAGCTTCGACCATAACTGCTGCTCTTCTCTCTTTAAGATCTTCTCTTATCGCCCGTCTGCATTGTTTTGCAAGTACGGACGTTAGTTCGCGGTTACCTGCAGCTCGTGCGATTCCACGCTGGCCTATCAACTCGAGTGTTTCTGGAGACAGAAGTCTCTCGGTGACCTTCGAACTCTGAGCTTTCATAGCGCTAGCGTGAAGATGTTGAATGAGCCAATCGTATTCTTCGTCGATGTTATCGACAACGGCATCTTCCCAACAGCCGACTAATGAATTGTATAAATCCCAGTTTATGGTGGTTTTGGGACTTTGGTTTTCGAATTTAGCGGCTTTTTCTCCTTTCCACGAGTAATAGAATCTTGCACGAAGGAGACGGTGGACTGATCCCGTGTAGAATTTTGGGGCAACAACGACATCGGTTAGGCAAAACCTTCTATTTAATATGATGTGGTCTATTTCGTTATGGTACTCTCCATTGGAAGACTCCCACGTCCAGAGTTAAGGGTGGGGCTTCTGGAAATGCGAGTTAGCACGGATGGTCTTGGTCGTCATGATAAACTCAGATAGCCGCTCACCCTGTTCGTTCCATTCGAATCCGTGGGTTCCAATGTGACGTTCTTCAGACGGTCTTCTTGGTCTGATCATGGCGTTGAAATCTCCAATGATTACCTTGAAGAATGTATGGTCTTCTTTGTAGAACTTCTCCAACTCCATATAGAACGCTTCGACTTCTTCTTCATGATAGTTTAATGTCGGCAGGTAAACTACGAAGATTGATAAAGCCACATCTTTTTAATCGTAAACGTCGGATTCGGGTTGTAAATTGTTCCAATGAATCGATGTTTATGGACAAACTCGTGTTGATTAGTACGCCGACACCGCCGACTCCTCTGCTGTCGCATGTTCCGAGGAACAGCTCTTCTCCGGTGTCATAGACAGCATTGAAAGGTTGGCGTCTTCTCGTCTCGGCCAAGCAGATGATGTCGTACCTTATCCTTCTTGCTTGTATGAGCAAGTCTTCTATCGAGGACTCGAATGCAAGTGTACGCGCATTGTAGGTACAAATCGTCACCTTAGTTCTTTGAAATCCATTGAGCTTCCATTTTAGCAGCCTCTCCGTACTCGTCCTATCCTACGCTGCGAAATTGGGAGCACTTTCGGGGTCAGGGAATGAGGCCCGTTTTTTCTTTTCTGTGTTTAGCATTTTTGATACCCACGTATAGCTTGCTAGGCTCTGAGCATGGAGGCTGGGCACACTCACGGGTAGCTTGCCATGCTCTCCCAGAGTCGACATGGGGCTTATTTGTTGGAGGCGACTCCTAACCGCCTCCCATATACTTCGCTGCCACTTGATTGCAGGCTTTTGGCCGAAGTAACTCGTAGAATACAATCCGCATAAACTAGAACGTACCCACACAGGCGTGCATGAATACGCCTAGAAAATACAGAAAGTATGTGCCAAATCGGCGCAACAGAAACAGGTAGTCCATCACCTGGATTCACCTGCGTTTCAGGAAAGCAAAGGTCGTTTTCCGTCCGCAATTAACCCCCTATCCTCCACCTGGGGACGCGTCACGTGGCCTCGCGACTAACCGGCTCGAAATCCCTCATATGAGGGAGATGCGTGGCAGCGTTCGATAGTGATTGGAAACCCTTAGTACTCGCTACATACAGTCCACATTCAGGCTCACAGGTTAGGTCAAGAAGAATCATAGAGTCCAAAAAGTGTTTATCATGGTAACTTCTCGACCCAGACACGCAAGGCTAAACGATTCGGAGATATTCATTTCGTTAAACATGAAGAGACATCTGAGACAAATCCATTGTTTTTTAACATCGAATTCGTTAGGTTGGTCAAAGACCAATCTTTCCACAAGCGGAAACCAGCCGGTGACATCATTCGTTCTGCCTGGCTTTGTGGTCTTCTAGTGATTAAGAACTTCACATTCTGATAAGTAGCGTGTGAGGAACCGAGGCCGAGGATTTTTCAGAATTGGTTTATCACTTAGCAGGTGTTGTATTTCAGAACTGAAAAGCGGTGGGGAGGAGAAGTCGTAAACGGTCCTTTTCCTTTTATTTCTGGAAGATGTGACTATTGTTTCGGGTCTCGAGTGTGATCAAACTAGTGTAATATTTAGTGAAGTTTATGCAGTCACTACGAATTTTTTTCAGCCTTTGCAGCTTTTATCATGACAGTCGTTCTTCTCTTCTTATGATCCCCTTTTTTCTCTCTCCAAAGCTTTGCAAGTTTGGAAGTCAGTTGATGATTTTCTATGGTTCGCGTGGATCCAAGTTGGCGTATTAGCTCAACTTCTGCCGTATATAAACGTTTCTTGATGATTTTTGAACTCTCGGCCTTCATAGCGTTAACGTTATGCTATAAATAGTGGCACCTTCTAAGATCTGACCAATTTTATTATTAGTTTTATCACATGGCCCACTATCACACGTGTAACAGTGTGTCGATCTTAGCACTTCTTGCATTAGCTTCCTTTCCTCAAATCCACCATCCACGGAGGTCTTTGAACTTTTTTGTGTCTGGCCTCAGCTGCCGCTCGAGGATTTTTTTCGTCTTCGTCGCTAACCTCGTTGAATACTGCGAAATTTGATGTTCCGTGAAATTCCGAGGTAGCCGTTGTGGAGCGTGCCCGCGTGGATGGATTCGAGGAGTCAGCTTGTCACATGTTAGTCTGCTACGAATTTCTAGGCCCGGGAGAGATGGGAGGCTTGGTTGACCAGGGGCAGAGTCGAACCAGGGTTTTGGTAGACTGGGGTGTCTGTGTATTGAACAGGATCACTGTTACTTAACCGCTCTTTCAGACTTTACTACTATTGTAGTCTTTTTCGTTGTGGTAGACTCCATTGGTAGTCTAGCGTTGTCAGCTAAGCCTCTGGAATTGCGTGGTTACCATGGATAACGCTGGTTATCACTATGAATTCAGACATGACCAATTGTGACTTTAGAAAGGGTGTGGTATTTTGAGCAGAACTTGTACTAGGCGGTTCTTCCTCGTCTTCGCTGTAGTTTGATATGGATGCATAAGCGACGGAGATTATCAAACCTGGTAGTGATCCACATTTCTTCAACCTTAGCGCCCGTTTCGTGTTGTTCGTTGTTTGAAGGAGTTCATGTCCGTGATGAAATATGTGTGAAGAAGACATCGATATTTCAACTTCCTCTATTATCGCGTGTTTCGAAAAATTTTACTTCTGTTTCCATTCTTCTGTGATAAACTCCATTAAATGGGCGACGTTTTCTGGTTTTACGTAGTCTGGTGACGTCGTATATAATTTTCTTGGCCTAGATCGTCAGGCTCTCAGCAGGAGACTCGGAAGCTATTAACCGTGTGTTATGAGTACAAATCATCCGTTACCTCAGTCCTTCCAGTTCTATACAGCCTAGAATAATCCCGAGATTTTGGAAGCTTCTCCGTATTTGTCCTATTGAACGCCATATATGCGGGTCTCTTTCTGAGTCAGCGGATTCATTCTTACTCACTTTTCCGTATTCGGATATAAATACTCAGTGGTAGCTTGCTGAGGTATTAACGTAGGGGATGCGTATGCTCACGGGTACCTTGCCCAGGCTGTCACGGAGTAGACGAAGAGCTTATTTGTTGAAGGTGACTCCTAACCCTCTCCCATGCAGTTCCGACTCATTTATTTGGAGGTTTGGCTCAATTGAAATGTGAGTCGTAGAATATATATATATATTTTGCCACAGGACTTAAGAGCGGCTGGATATATCACGGTCCTTCTAACCAACAATTTCTATGCCGATCGTGCACGCTGTCTACCAACAATACCCGAAGGGTTTGGAAATCATTTTGATCTCGTCGCTGAGTCATGCAGACTTGGAATGCGAAAACCAGACGTGGATATCTATCAACATGTTTGCCAGAAAATGAAGGTTTGTTTTACGAAAAGCATGTATTATTTGTCATTTTCTTTGGAATTCTTTGAAGGTTCTCTAGTTTAAATTCCAAGTGTGATATTTGTTCACCTAAACGTAATGCACACCCATCATTCAAGTTCGAATAAGTCACGCATAAGTAAAGAACTTCTGACAGGTAACACCAGCGGAGTGCGTCTTTCTGGATGACCTTGAACCAAACGTGGTAGCGGCTAAAGAACTAGGCTTCATAACCGTCAAAGTAGGGGCAGATTTAGATATTCTGAACTTGTTTCTAGAATGACCAAAAAGGGAAAACTCGAACTTTAAGATGTACTTATTGTTGTTCTCTAAGGTAATGTCCACCAGCCAAGCTGTAAACGATCTGAAATTGGCTGTCAAGGAATTGTTAAAATTACCATCAAAGGAAAGAGAGTGCCTGCCAAGTTCGTAGACATTGTTTAGTTAAAAAGATATATATGTATAAATACATATATGCATGTGCATGTGTATATACAGTCTTATTTCAGTGTCTGCATGTTTTTGTTGTTGAATAGTGTTCAGTTATTTAGTTACAGTAAAGAATTCTATTCAAAGAGATCTTTTTATTCGTATTTTGAGCAATTTTTCACTTTGGTTTTAATTGATTGCTTACTAGAAATCCTGAGATATATGATATATCATGGTGAGATATTTGCAAAATTCCGGACCGCAGGTGCCTGCGATGGGGAACGAACGCGCTATTACCTTTTCCGGGGCTAACACGTTCACCACCACACCATGTGGGCTCTTCGTTTAGCCTGTATCTCAGCTAGTTTTATCGATAGGTGCCATCAGCAATCACCCGTCAACGGGATTGATCTGGGGAGTCCAAATCGGCATTGAACCCAGTTAAGCTGAGGCTGTAGTTGGATTCAGAATGTTTGCTTTTTTATTTTTCATTTATTTTATTCTCTACTTTTTTGTTGTTATGGTGGTAAACACGTTAGCCACGGGAAGGGTAACAGCGCGTTCGTTCCCCACCATAGACACCTGCGGTCCAGAGTTTTGCAAATATCTCAGCAACGTTGTGGTTGTATTTCTCCAAGTAGCAACCTCTGTTAAAGAATCGCTACTAGAAAAAAAAATTATCCACCCCTTGTAACTTTTGATTATTGATTGCCCTATTTTTTTGCAGTTATATGAATTTCACAATTGTTCAAGTAACCAACAGGTTACAATCGTACATTATTTTTTTTTCTTGGAAAGCATTTTAAGATCCAGATGTGCCCTAAACTCCATAGAAGTCTCAAGTAATTACCATAGTCTTGACACATGACTCATATATAGCTCATACATGGTTGGATAATTTTTCTCCTTCAACTTCAAATGGCTAAATCTTAACCCGTAGTGAACATTTTTAGCACCTGCAGGTCAATGATACCTTTCCGTCAGCACTCACATATTTACGGCAATTAAAATAACGAGATGAGGACTTAATAGGGTTGTGGAAGAGGTTTTAACCTATGGCCCTATTGTTGAACATTATTTGTCTATTCAGCTGTTTATTTATTTGATCAAGAACTATTTGAGGACAAATCGCGTCCGTACATAGAACAAGAGAATCTGTAAGAAATGGTGTCCTTTATCTTACCTCGTTTCGGTCATGGACAGTCGAATCGACGTAACATATGAGATTTGGCATTGCGGAAGTCGTCCTAAGAAAAAAAACCTGCACAATGCTTTTCTCTACTTTCTTATTGCTTAGTTCAACTAATATATCAAACATTTTCTGACTACTTCATTCTTTGAAGTCACTACTATCTATGAGATTCAGCTTTTTACTGTAAAAATTTGATCCACGGCAGGTGAATACAATTCTATTACTACGTTGAAAAATCTCTCACTTGTATCACTCATGTTCCTGCTAGTTATCTGTAGTGAGTGTACCATTCCGTATCGCACACAATCATTACACAAGGGATGAGGAACATTGGGGTTTCAGTGAGGTCACAGTTGTTCTTCGAAGCTGAGTTTGACAGAAATCATCACAGGAATCTCAGTGGACTGTCTCATGTCGTAGGTTTACTCTTAGTTAGATCTGTGAATAGAATTCTTCGAACCCGGTTTAGAGGGCCCTGCTAGAGGACGAATTCTCGCTGCACGTCAAAATACGGTTTCCTGTGTGAACATTATATACCTTCCATGCGTTCAAAAGAGGAGTCTGAACGATTAAGTGGAAGACCGGCTGTATATAGTTGACGCATGGTGTAAAATAAATGTGTTTAAGCTATGAAGACAAATGAACACTTGTGTGCACGAATGGCTCTTTCTACTTGTAGCCTTCAATTATCCCCGGTCTTACTGACTTAAGAAAGCCTTTATAATTTTTTCTCCCCGACGACCATAGACTCCTTTGATTCTTGCGCTACTATGTGTCCACTATTCAGCTTCCAATGCAATGACTTGTTTGGGAAGTCTTATCCTGTTTTCCTACAGCTTTCGCTGAGACGGTTCCCTTTTGTTAGTAAGTCCTCACCCAAAAAAAAGACCTATGTCAACTACCGCCATAGGCTATGGATCTCCCTCATATGAGGGATCCCGATAGCCGGTTAGTTGCCAGGCTACATGGCGCGTCACCAGGTGCTGGATAGGGGGTTAATCGCGGAGCAAAAACTACCTTTGCTTCCCTGCGACGCAGGTGCATCTAGGGGTGGACTCCATGTTTCTTTTATGCCGAGTAGACACATACTTTGTGTATTTACGAGGCGTATTCATGCACGCCTGTGTGGGTACGTTCTAGTTTATGCGGATTATATTCTACGAGTTACTTCGGCCAAAAGCCTTCAATCAAGTGGCAGCGAAGTATATGGGAGGCGGTTAGGAGTCGCCTCCAACAAATATGCCCCATGTCCACTCTGGGAGAGCGTGGCAAGCTACCCGTGAGTATACCCAACCCCCACGTTCAGAGCCCAGCAAGCTATACGTAGGTATCAACAAGCTAACGGCAAAAAAACGGGCCTCATTCCCTTACCCCGAAACAGCCCCCAATTTCGCAGCGTTGGGTAGGACGAGTACGGAGAGGCTGCTAAAATGGAAGCTCAATGGATTTCAAAGAACTAAGGTGACGATCTGTACCTACAATGCACGTGCACTTGCATCCGAGTCCTCGATAGAAGACTTGCTCATGCAAGCAAAAAGGATAAGGTACGACGTCATCGGCCTGGCCAAGGCGAGACGACGTCACCCATTCAACGCCGTCATTGACAATGGAGGAGAGCTGTTCCTCGGAACATGCGACAGTAGAGGAGTCGGTGGCGTCGGCCTTCTCGTCAACACGAGTTTATCCATGATCATTGTTTCATTCAAACAACTCACAACCAAAAACAGACGTTTACGATTAAAAAGATGTCGATCAATACTGGCTTTGACAATCTACGTCGTTTATGCGCCGACATCAAATTACGACTAAGAAGAAGTCGAAGCGTTCTATATGGGCTTGGAGAAGTTTTACAGAGAAGACCATACATTCTTCAAGGTCATCAATGGAGATTTTAACGACAATATTGGACCAAGAACACCTGAGGAAGGTCACATTGGGAACCATGGATTAGAATGGAACGAACAGGGTTAGCGGCTGTCTGAGCTTATCATGACGATCAAGACCATTCATGGTAACTTTTCCAGAAGCCCCACCCTCAACGCTGGACGTGGGAGTCTTCCAGTAGAGAGTACCATTACGAAATAGACCGCATAATAGTAAGTAAAAGGCTTTGCCTTGCCGATGTCGCTGTTGTCTCAAAATTTCACACAGGATCAGACTAGCGCCTCCTCCGTGCAAAATTCTATTTCTCGCAGAATAGAGAAAAAGCCGTTAAATTTAAAAAACCAAGTGCTAGAACCACCATAAATTGGGACTTATTCAATTCGTTAGTCGGCTGTTGGGAAGATGCCGCTGTCGATAACTTCGACGAAGAATGCGATAGGCTCATTCAACACGGTCCAGGTAGGAAAAGATTAGAACGTCTGAAGAACCTTTTGCCAGTCCTCATAAACACACTAGTTCGGCTGTTCACGGGTTACCTGTCTGAATGCAAGGTCTCTACTCAGTGGAAGACAACCAAGATCGTGTTATTGTTCAAAAAGGGTGACCTGCACGACATCGGCAACCATCGCCCAATCTGCTTGCTGCTTGTCGTCTACAATCTTTTCACTCGACCCATCCTGAGAAGGACTGACAAAACACTGCACGAAGGACAGCCATGTGAGCAAGCAGGGTTTCGAAAAGGATTTAGTACGATGGGCCACATCCACACGATAGCAAGGCTCATTGAATATCGCGAGAATACGAAAGACCACTTTACCTCACTTTCATCGATTTAAGGAAGACCTTTGACTCCATATGGAAAGAAGCATTCACAACCAAGATGTCATCATTCTACAACGATATTAACATCGAGTTCCACCTAGCCAAAGTTATTTACCGCCACCCTCGAGAACGTCTTTCGGACATTGGAATGGGATAATATGAGAATGAAAATTGGTGTTCATCAGTTACACCGTCTTTGCTTTGCTGACGACATGGTCCTTATAACAGCAAACATTAGCCAAGCAGAACGTTTGCTTGCCGACTTTGATAAATCCTGTGGAGAGATTGGTTTTCGACTAAATCTTACAAAAATGATGTTTATGAAGAACGGATTGGTTTCGCATGCCCCATTCACTCTCACCGGAGGGTATATCTCCCAACGCTCCAAGTATGCCTCTCTATGTCGGGAAACCAAAACGTTAAACGACTTATCTTCAGAATTGAAAAAAAGGAAACGAGCGGCTTGGGCAGCTTTCAAGAGCATCGAGGAAGAAGGGAGGAGATCAAAGAACACCCGACTCCCCGCCTACCTTTTCGACTCCACGGTACTTCCTGCCCTAACGTATGCGCCAGAAACCTGGTCGCTGCATAAGTAGGATGAAAGGTCACTCAGCGTTATTGAACGCGCAGTCGAAAGGACGATGCTTGGAGTATCCCGTTTCACACAAGTAAGGGATGGGATCCGAAGCTCCGACTTGCGTCAACGATCAAAAATCGAAGATGTCGTTGTGTACGCCAAACAGTCGAAGATAAGGGGGGCCGGACACGTAATTCGCATGAGTGGCAGCCGATGGACAAGAACCGTTAGTGACCGGACTCCTTGGGACGTAAACCGCACTGCAGGAAGACCACCGTCTCGATGGTCAGAGCTCTTCGCGAAAAGGCTAAAAGAAAGGTGTGATGCTCGACGAGTCTCTGGAGCGAGCACAACCTGATGGGCTACTCTTGCACTCATC